AATAACATTTAGAGGTTTTTCTTTTTATTTATTTATTTATTTTGCAGTGCTAGGGATTGAACCCAGAGACTCACCCATGCTAGGCAAATGCTCTATCACTGAGCTACGCCCCCCAGAGCAGGTTTTAGCTTTATTAACTTTATATAGCAGGTTCACACAAATGTATGACTGCATTCTTCAGTTATTCCTAAGGAAATACACTCTTCTCTCAAACAGATTTCTCTACAAATTGAGGCAAGGAAGCACAAGTTTGAATTCATTGTTTAAATAACCGGAGCCATCTACTTCCAGTTGAAACCCTAGAGATCACCTTGGGAACCATCCTAACATCAGCTTGGTGGAACCAGGTGGCATGCAAAATGACCACAAACATCTCACACTGTTCTGGAGCCCAGGTTGTTCCGGGCCCTCTCCTGTGGTCCACTCCAGAAAATAATATACCAAATAAAACTGCATAGAAGTCACTAGATCTGCACATTTTTAAAAACCGCCAATTTTTAAAAGCTGGATGAAGAATAACTACTCGGGCATGAGCTCGTAGAAACTGCCGATCGTCGACAGGTGGGAAGTGTGAAGAGCACGTCTCATTCATGAGTTCCTTGTTGTATGAGACTTACCGCTTCCACCTGGGCCGTGCCAGCAAACACGAAGACAGCCATCTGAGCTGGCAGGATCTCTGGAGAGGCGAGCCAAATGTCCCCACCTTAAGGATGAGGAGCTGAGATGGAAGGCCCAGTGAGCACTAGGGACATCCCAGGACCTGGTCCCCAGCTCTCTTCCCTCCTCTCATTACACAGAGCCCAAGGATGCAGTGTTGGCCAGAAATAAGATTCCAACTTGAAGACAGCCATACTGAATTTTCTCTAACTAAAGAGCCACTTTCTCTGGGGGTGTTCTTTGCAATCCCTCTGCCTGAGTTCACTAAACTCTTCCTTCTGTGTTCCAACCACACGCTGCTTAGAACTCACACAATTATTCACTATTTTGTTTGATGGTGAGTTTGTTTATACCTGATTTCGGTTTAGGCTCCGAGAGGCAAGTGTCATTTTCCTGTCATTGTATCCCTACCCCCTGGGGTGGTGCCTAACATATAGTAGGTGCTCAACAGACTTGAGTGCATAAAAAAATTCTGGCATGCAGTGATAGCACATGAAGGTCCACACAGGCAGTGTGTAAGAATGGCAATTTACTTGTGGAGGTGGGTGGAGGGAAAGGGGCGTTACATAGCAAAGGACTTTTAGGTAATGACTTAGGGACAGTTAAAGTGTTCTCCAGCTCCTTCTTGGGGACCCTAATTTTCATGAACTGGAAACTCATCCCTATATCACTGTCCCCTCCACTCACTGTAATCCATCAGGACCTCACACTTACTGGGGTAAGAACGAGTGGCCTAACGCACAAATGAATGAACAGACAGTAAAACCTCTCCTAAGATCTGTCCGCATTGACCAACTGATGCCAGGAGCCAAAATCAGTTCATTTCCAGCTAAAACCAAGAACAAAGCTTTAGGACCACTGTGGGAGGCGAGGCAGGGAAGCCAGGGAGCAGGAGGTGGAGCTGGGAACTGCTCTGTAGCATGAGAAGCCAGAAGCCAGGTGCACAGAGATGAGGCTTCCTGGGAGATGCTTCCCAGGTGGAGGTGGTTCAGGTCCCCAGTGGAGGAATTTTTGGAGTTTCCTGATTTTATAACTTTCTTCTGAACTGGAACTGTGTATTATCCCCTTCGTTGGGGACGTGTGTTTGTCTGGAACCATCAGGCACACATGGCCTGGTCTCCGTGCCTGAGTACAACGGAAACATGGGTGCCAGAAGCCAGAGCTAAGTTGCAGAGCTGTTGCCTGTGCCTCAGCCACAAAGCACAAAGGACAAACTACATGACCTGAAGGCCCTGCCACCACTGACCCTTAGACGTATATCTAATCACAGAGAGGGTTTCAGTTTAAAAGGAATTTAGTTGACTAGTTAACACATCCATGAACTAAAGCAGCTTGAAATCTGTATATTATTAGTAAATTGACTAGTATATACTTATCAGGATATTTTTATTAATATTTGAGCATAGCTGTTTCTCAATAATCAGTAAAAAGCAAACTTAATTATGGAAAACAGGTTATTTATAAACAGGACGCCTGCTCATTAAAAAGTTGAAAGAGCAGAAAGTTCTTAATCCTGCTGCTAAAAAAATGCAGGATTATGAATTGTACTCATGGAGGTAGAACTTGCTGCTGAGCAGATAACGGCATTAGGGATGGCAAAGAATCCAACGTGTTCTGTTATAGGATTCATGTTTATGCACCTTATTTTCCTTAAGGAGTGGCGGATTTGAATGTGCTCTTTTCCAAGATGCAAACAGTGACGTTCCATGCTCCTCCACATTCAGTTTGCTTCTCCATCCAGGGCCAAAAGGCAGAATGGCCAAATTCCCTGACAGTTTTGTCAGGTGGGCTTTCCTACAACAGGTGAGGCCTTCTGGAAGTGGGAAGAGACCTAGGAATGGACAGATACTGTTTTCTAGCACCAACTGGCTGCCAGCTAAGCATTTCCTGAGGTTTTTTTAAAAAAATGGAGAGCCACACGGATCCACAAGGATGCCTTGAGGGCTTGGATAACCTCTTCCTGGGTAATCTTGGTTAAAACATAATTCTTATTGGCTTTCCAACCAACTTTCAAATTTATCTTCAATTAATCTTCAAATTAGCCATGCATGGAAGTAACTTGCCTGACCATTCTATGGAGGGGCAAACAGGCTCAAAGAAGGTAATTTAATTTGCCCAAGAAAAAACTTTTAAGTCTTCAAAGCTCTCCACACTGATTCCCTCTTCTACTATCAGAACTAGGGGTCCTTGATCAGCTGGACCCACCTACCTCTCTGCAAGTCAAGTGCCATGTGGGAAACTGTGTCCACAAGCGCCTATGAACCTGTTACCCTCTGGAAGGTTGATAATGTAACGTCTGGGTTTTTTTTGTGTGTGTTTGGAAAAGTTTCTACAAATAGGAACTTGTCTGGTCTGGCTTCCAGATATAGGCCTGGCTTCCAGGACATGGAAAAACCTTTGGCCGGACAGACAGACAGAGGTTCAAATTCCCATTCTGGCCCAAAGTTGGTATTTGAGACTACAACTCTTGAAGATCATTATCTATAAAATGAGGATACACATTAAAGGAACTCGGATTATGGAAATTAATTCACCCTTTGAGGATGAACCCAATGTGAACACTTCAAAGGTAAAAGCACAGAGAAACCAAATTGTCATAAAGAAATGGAAGGAGTCCTCTGCCAGGAAGACGCAGTAGTTACCTGCTGGGCTATCTTTAGCATCTATTAAAAGTTATAATTACTTGTGCCTAATTCTGTGTCTCAAGTTCAGGGTGGACAGGAACCAGGCCCATCCTTCACCCCCTGGATCCTCAGTATCTGATCACAAGGTAAGGCAATCAGTGAATGAGACAGAGTTAAGGAAAAACTGGGTCAACTGGAGAGGTCCTGCAGGAACCCCCCAGAGAAATGAGGCTGACTCTGCAATGCCCACCCAAGCCCCAGCTGGAAGAGGATGTGCTGGCAAACGGCTGTCACCTGATGATGCACATTCCTCTGGAGGTGTGTGTACAGGCTGCTCACACTTAGGATATTCAGGGCCCTGGGGACATCTGTTCAACTGGATGAAAGAGCTGGCCCTTTAGGGTCACATCCCAGGTGTGAGAGCTGCTACAAGCTGAATTCCCCAGGAAATGAGCCTACAGGGGCCATGGCAGGTTAATCAGGTAAAGAAAGCTTTTCTGTGATATCCTCTATGCCAGCCCACTGGCCACCACCCCAGATGGCCTGTACAACTCTGAGCTGCAAGATCTGCTGATGATTTCCCCAGAACACTTCTTTTGCAAGGTGGTTGTAAGGATGCAGGTAATAAGAAGGACCAGCTCAAAAATGCATGCGCGGACACATAGTGGGATCATTGGTGTCTGAAGGCACGCACCAAACCAATGTCTGTGCCAGGCTTCCGTGAATAATGATTGCCGTTTTTCTGCCCCATGGAGCTTCTGAAACAGACTGTAATCTGACAAGTCTAGAAGAGCCAGGGAAGGTCGTGGTCAATGGGAATTCTGGGCAGAGCTCACAGAGACGGTGCAAGATGAATAAATGGTGAATCAGCACCAGAGGCCACACTGCCCTCTTTAGGGGTCTGCAATGTGTTTGGCTGTTAAAATGACCAGAGAGCAGTTCTCGCTTTTAATGACTGAAGGCCAGAGCCAATATCCTATGATGCTTCTGACAGTCTCTGCAGTGAATTGCCCTGCCCTAAATCCCAGCAGCACCCTGATGACCCTGGTGACATGGGAATGGGGTCTGAGATCTAGAACAATGGAGGGAATGAACATTGGCAGCAGGGGTAGAGATTAGGAGGGGACACTCTGCAAGGACAGATCCACAGTTACTTACTTTTTTCCCCAGAGTCAATGGAGGGCCTTTTTGATTTAAAGAAGGGGACGTTTCTCTAACCTGTAGCTAATTATATGTTTGTTTTGGGTGCCACTTATGATATCTGCCCTTTGGTGGCAGCTCCAGCTTGTTGGTCAGTTTCTAAACCCAAGCCCAAGACATACCTTGTATGTCTTGCACAGAGAGTCACACAGTTTGATCCAATTCCTTTCCTGATGTACCTTTTCCCAAAAGTTGGTGTGACCCTGTGTGGGATATGGTGGGCCCCATATTGCTCTTGCTTTGTAGTATTGGGAAAGGTGACAAAATGCAACTTAGAAAAAACAGGCAATATCACACACACACACACATACACACACACACACCCCCCCCAAGAAGGAAGCCTGCTGGCTGAAAAGAAAGCATAACATCTTTTTTTTTTTCCTTTCAGATTCACAAATACTGAATTTGCAGCATCAAAGCAAGGCAAGTTCACGAACATGGAAAGGGAAGCCACATTATGCACACCGGCATCTGAACTTTTCACCCAGAGAACTACAAAGCATGCATGCATATACATACCCGGCTTGGGTACTGTCGCGATACGGCAGCACGGAAAATATACTACAGAAGGATCTTCTGCCACTGATAAGGACTATTCTAAAAAGTGAAACAAAAAAACAAACAAACAAACAAAAAAAACAACAAACTAAATGCAAAGACTCAAATTAAAAAAAAACACAACTCTATATATAGCAATTAAGCATTCACAGGATTCACAGCAGTATTTGCATACTCCCGCCCCCTCCTCCAACAGATGGTATTCTGCTCTCCTTGCAAAATGCAGCCTCAGCACAGAAGTATGCTGCCTCTATCACCCAAATATTAACACGTGCGACACCAGCGATCCGTGAGTCCTTTCTCCCTTAAAGAGGTGCTGGCTATGGGCTGCACATGCAAGACGGGAGCAGACAGTGCCGAGTTTGGGGTGGGCAGTGCTGGTGAACAGTCATGCCACATTTAAACTACTCATTTGTCTTCTGCAGTAAACAATGCAAGAGCAATAGCACCAGAAACCCTGAGCAGGAAAGACACTCCGATGCCATTATGATCATTAGGTTTTTTTTTTTATATGCTGGCAACGTGTTAGGTTCTGAGAATAGATCGAGGGAACAATTACATAATCAGTCTTAGCTTCCATTCCTGCCATAAAGAAACTACTGGAAACAGTTCTGCACGATGCTCTTATGCAATCCAAAGCCACTTAGAAAAACATTCAAAACAAAAACAAAGACCCTCAAAAGTACTTATCCTGGCATCTGAGAATAACTTTTGCCAAAGGGAATCGCTGATGAGAAAAATGGATAAATGAGTGAAAGAGATTTAAAAACAGCATTCTCTTTAGTGTCAGGTCAACATACATCACAGACAGAGCTTACTTACTTTTCTAATATTTTCCTTCAATAATCATAGTGAGACCAGAGAAAATAGTACTTAGGCAAGGATCAAAGTTTGGGAATTCTAACCTTGTTTTAAAGTTAGGCAATTAGATTGCCTACAGCCCTGGGAGAAAGTCTGGTTCCCTGGCATGGCAAATCAGGCCTCTGCTCCTGGCTCTGCTTTCTTGTCTGAGCTTTATCACGCATTTATACTAAAGTGTTTGCAGTACCCCAACCTAAAGAACAACAACAACAAAAACTTGCTGTTTTATACCTGTGCCCATCACATGCTATTCCTTCTTTATGTAATGCTACATTTTGGGACACTTGGTAAACTCCTATTGATTCTTCAAAACCCAGCTGAGAAGTTACCCCTTCAGAGAATGTCCCCCTGCTGATCATTCCTTCTCTTCTCACTGCTGTCTCCACTCCTTTTCACGTTTCCCGGAGTGCCCTGGTGTGACCAGTACTGCTCACCATTTGCTGCTTCCTAGAGAGCAAGTCCAAGGGTTTTTAAGCACACGGCATCTCCCCCATAAATGTCCATTTGATGTCACTGAAATGCAGTCTGACTGCAGAGCAGCACCAGAGGATGCACCAAGGGGCGCGTGGGGCTATAGCTGTCTGTTAATCACAGGATGGAAGCAATGCTCCCAGCTAATATCAGCTGTCACCGTTGTATACCTCAGGCAGTTTACTAACTCTTCTGAGCCTCGGTTTCCTCCTCTAAAAAAATGGGGTAAAATTAGGAAGTATTTCATTGGAATGCTTTAAGAGTAAATGTGTTCACACTGGGAGAATTCTTGAAGTAGCACCTGGCAAAGAGTATACACACTCAATAGACAGGAATGGTCTTCCCTGCAGATCAGCTTTTTGGGGTGAAGTTGTTTCAGCAGCACAGTACTTAGATTGGTACCTCTCCACACCTCCATGCTAAGTACCCAGGCTGCTAAGTGTGAGGGACTTTGCTGTGGACAGCTGAAGGACCACAGGCCTGACCCATCTGCAACAATGTAACACGGCAGTACGTGACTGAAAGAAGTTTCTCCTCAGATACTTGAGACCCCAACTCTGCTAACTGCAGCGAGGACAGAAGCATCATGTCCTGAGTGGTCCTCCAAGGCCTGTGGGGCCAAGAGCCAAATAAAACTCCTGCTCAATACCTGCCAGGTTCCTTGGGCTCTGACATGAAGCCTGGCCACAGAGCTTCCTACGTGACAGTGACCCTGCAAATTTATTTAAGCAGGCATGACAAGGGTTAACACTCGTTGCACATCAATTACACGCCAGATTCTGAACGCTTTAACTGACGGGACATGAGCCAGCAAGAGATGTGCCAAAGTTCAGTGAAGCTCCAGCAGGTAAGGCAGACCAGGGATTTGAACTTGAACTCTTCACCACCATGAGTGCTCTTCTGTAATGTGCTAGAAAGGCCTGCTCTGGTGCTTAGCTGGGCACCCCTGGACATCCATAAGTCTGTCTTCACTTATGTTCCACAGTGGCTTTGGAGCCTGGCCTGCATGTCACCCCAAGAGTGATAGACCAGGACAGTACTACTATTAGAACTGGAGCCACAGGGGCTGCATTCTCCCCTCTGCTCAGTCTGGGCCCCTTCTGGATGATGGACAGAGGCTCTCCACCCTCCCACTGCCGTTCCCACCATCCATCCAAGGGAAAGCCTGGAGCCACTGGCTCTGTCACTCGACATCCTGCGGAGAGTGTCTGAACTAACTGGCTCCGTATGACCACGCTGTCTTCATCACCCAGTGCTGTCTTTTTCCTTCCCACCCAAGAGCTTGTTTGGACATTTTTAAGAGAACAAGAAAATGAGAGAATACTGATGCAAGCACATCCCAGGCCTTCTTCCCAGTACTGCAACGCAGGGTGCCTATCCATCCGTGGCTGTGTTGTCCTAGGAAAATGAGTGCTCACTCTGGGTGGTCCTCGCCATTCGTCTAGGAGATGCTGGCGACGTGGCTCTCATTCAGAAAAAAGTGTTACTCTAAGGCACAGGCCAAGTTTGGCAACTGTGAACATGGACGGCCTCCCAATAATTCCAGGAGGGTTGGCTCTTCACCGGTTGGCCCTTCTTCAGCAACCGAAATGGAAGGATGAAGGAAGAACACTGCATCCTTGGGCCTTTCCCTTTCCTCCCAGGATCTGATCATCTCATAGACTCCTGCTCTCCCCAGGGATTGGAGACAGAATCCACGGCAGGGACCCAGACAGCAGCCCTACAACAGCACTGCCAACAGGGCTCCCAGACACATCTTCCATGTTTTCTGAAGGAGTTCTGGCATCCGGGAGAAACAGCAGAATACATGCAGAGCAGGTGAACCAGCCTGCTCAGCTTCTCACGCTAACTACTTAGGGCAGCATGATCCTAACAACAGGTCCTACACGACCCTCCGCTGTGTTTAGAACCTTGGAGTTCATGGGAATTTGCAACTTTTCTCACATGGGGGACATCCATCAAAATGCAGATGCCCAAGAAGAAAGTCTTGGTGATTTGTTAAATCTCCTCAAGTGCCTGTTATTGATGAAAGAATTAAACCAGATGCTGGTAGTCATGAATGTCCAAGGGCAAGCTGGGTGCAGTGGCGCATGCCTGTAATCCAGTAGCTTGGGAGGCAGGAGGATCGTGAGTTCAAGGCCAGCCTCAGCAAAACCGAGGTGCTAAGCAATTCAGTGAGATCCTGTCTCTAAATAATACAATAGAATACAAAATAGGGCCGGGGATGTGGCTCAGTGGTTGAGTGGCCCCACGTTCAATCCCTGGTACTTACCCTCCCCAAAAAAACACAAAAGAATGTCATAGGACAACCAAACTCCACACCCAATGGGCTTCAGAAATTGACTGCTTCCTTGTTTTTGCCTCCAACTACTGTAGCTAACTTCTTTTATGCCCAATGGCACACAAAAAGTCACATAATTTTCACCATCTGTGACATACAAGACTTTACTTGAAGTCAAGAAGGCCAGAAAGCCTTGCTCCAAAACTGATGACTTTAAAAGAGGAATTAACTCCAGGGAGATGGGTCTTTAAAGAATGAAAGGTCACATTTCCACACAAACATCTGTCAGAGGGGGGAAAACACAGCAAAGGAAAAAGCTCCACAGAGCTGCTGCCCGCCCATGTGGGCCAAGATGCCTCTGGAAACGCCATGTTCTCCAAAACTTCCAGGAAGCACTGAGTATGCCCTGCAGCTGGAAGTCATCAAACTTCTCCACATAACTTGATTTCCATGCTCCTGGGAAGTGTGGCCGGTAGGAGGGATCTCGTGACTTCAGCCCACAAAGCCTCCCTAGCCTCACTTTGCTCGGGAGATACTGGAGCTTTAGAGCTGCCAGGAGACGCTCCACACATAGCCATCCCTCTTGAATCTGCTTTCAGCCCCTCAGCCCAGAGCTGGAGGATACTTAACCGGGGAGCGTCTGACACCACCCAGGATCCTCAAGAGTTCCATCATTTGCCACAAGCTGGCTTCTTGTTCCATTTCCAGACTCCTGGGGAGTCTGCTGGCCACCACAAAGTTCAAATTCATCCAGGTGGAATATTCCCTGACAGCGGAAATATTCTTGTAAGGACATTAAAAATGAGAAACCAGCTTTAAGGGGTGAAGGAAATCATGTCTCCCACAATGGAGGTACGGACAGTGAGGCCTGATCGTAGCCCAGGGGTGTCCATAGCCCAGTGTGGGGGGGTCACGTCTGGTACTGGACACACCTGCAAAAACACATTTCCCAGATTCATTCCTTACTGAGGCCCAGTATCCATGGATGTGCCTTGTTTGGAAATAGGGTCTTTGCAGATGCAATACAATTAGGATGAGGTCATATTAGATTAAATCCAATGAACAGTGATCTTATAAGGAGAGAGGGATCTGGAGATACCTAGACAGACACAGAGGGACGAAGACTGTGAGGCACAAGCCATGGAAACCAGGGACTGCCAGCAACCCGAGAAGATGCCAGGGACGATTCTCCCCCACAGCCTTCAGGAGGAACACGGTCCTGCACGCCCAGCCTCCAGAGTTGAGAGAACCCCTTTTTGTTGCTTTAACCACCCATTTTGTGGTGCTTTACAGGGCAGTCCTGGAAAAGAAAATCTAGCTGGCACCGTCACTCTCTTCCTGGCAGGGCTCTGTGCCACACGTCACCTGCTGGGTAGATCCTCTGGACGTCTATACTACATTTGCCGAGCCCCAGGAAGATGAAATG